GTGCTCCAGTGTGGGTCTCTGTCTCTATCTCCATCCATCTCCAGATGAAGGTTCTATGGTGATATGCAAGATATTAATCAGTATGGCTATAGGATAGGGTCATCTCAGGTTCTCTGTCCTCAGCTGCCCCAGGAACTAACTGGGGACATCGTCCTGGGCACCTGGGAGCACCAAATCTCTTGCCAACCCTAAGATGAAGACTCTGAATTCCAATAGAATCTAGGCTCTCATTTTGTTCCTATATGTCAAAGAGTTAAAAATATAACATAAGCCTTTACTTTTTGTTAAATAGATAAATGAATAGATACTTACCTGTGAAATGTGGAACCTCCATGGCATGCAAGAGTTCATAAATGTAAAACATAATAGTTTCCTTATAAAAGAGATTTTGAAGCTTAACTCATTCTTGTCTCCAAACTGTATGCTGTAGTATTGATGGTCTTCCTTTTTCCCAATGATGTGAATTACAAATACATATGTGTGTGTGTGTGTGCCAAATACTCATTTTCCTAACCTACAGCAAATTCATTCTACACACACAAACACACACTATATCCCTCACTCATTCACAATCACACACATGAGTCCACAGGTTTACATACACTCTCCCACGTATTCACATATACTCTCACACTCACACATTCACATAAATGCTATCACACACACAAACTTTCTCTAATGTTATGATCATTGTATTTTATTAGTATTACTATCATTTCCTCATCTCGCAGAAGCTGAAGTTCTCAAAATGTCTTAATTAAAACCATCACATTTCAGATTCAGAAGAAACGTTAAATACCAGTTTGCTAAACTCTTTTCCTGGCTAGAAAACATCTTACACATGTCTACTAAGTGACATCCTTCTCTGTTTCAGAGTGCCCTCAATGACGAGGAAGAACATGAGCTCATATAATCTCCAAAGCACTGTAATTGTTAGAATTTCTTTCCACTTTCTGTATCCCTTACATCAGGATCACACACAATATACAGTGCTCATATCTGAATTGCAAATGTACCAGACACAAAGGTCCTGTTCTTTAGAGAAAGTCTGAGTCACTCAGTTGGACAGTCTATCCTAGACCTAGTCTCAAGACTAACTGGTTATCACACTGTCCCCAGAAGTTAGTCTTTTTGTGAAGTCTGCAAACACCTGGGACCCCAGAAAATTAGACTTTGAATGATAATCCATTCATGAGCTGAGATAATGACACTTAGTAATGCTAGTTGAAACATGGTTGCCTGTATCCAGATAGCTTCTTCGACTATAGATTCCAAGTAAGGGTTCTTCATGCTTAAATCATAACAGGACACTCTAGTCAAAACACAGAAAACAGTATACTTTATACTTCATAATGTCAACCAGGAAACTAGACAAAGCTTAGACTTCTCTCTACAAACTGATGGCAAGGCAGTCTTAATGAAGACAACACCTACATAGCTTGTTGAATATGGTCAAACTCGTGCTTATCTGAAGCCTTCAGCCCTACTGGCTAATGTTCATGGTACCAAAAGGTACCATGCCTATTATCAAAGAATAAACCTAAACAGCAACACAGCTACAAACCCTTCTATATAAACTGTTGACCAACCTCCAAGATATGTTAGGGCAATGACAACACAGAGTTTGTCAGAGTAACCAACCTCTGGCTTGAATTAAGACCCACCCATGAGTTGGAACCCAAACATGGCACTGCTTGGGTGACCATAAAACATGAGACTAGATAGTCCAGGAACTTAGGATAAATCAAATACTAAGCTAAAGGAACATAGCAATAATATAACTCCTAATGATGTTGTGCCATACTCAGAGATCAGTGGCTTGCTTAGCCATCATCAAAGAAGCTTCCTCCATAGCAGACAGAGACCCACAGCCGAATAATATACAGAGAGTTAAAGACCTAAGAACACTCAGCTATAAAAGGGGATATGTCTGTCAAATTCCTACACCCAGTGCTCAGGGAACCTGATAGAAGAGGAGGCAAAAAGTATGCAAGAGCCAGAGAGAGTGGAGGACAAAGAAACAAGACCTTCTAAACACAACAGGACCATTGCACACATGAACTCACAGACACTGAGGCAGCATGCACAGGGTCTACACAGGTCAGCACCAGATGGGAACTTAGAGCAGAAAGAAGTGGACACAAGCTCTCATCCCTAACTCTGATGCTAGCTCCAATTTAATAGCCACTTGCAAATTAAAATACACTTTTCTCCAAGGGAATCTCATTGGGAAAACAAGCTATAATTAAGGGTAGGTACAAACAGACTGCACTTTAGTTTCCTGGCCACCCAGACCCGAATAATCAAACAAAAACTATATTAATTACAACACTGTATGGTTGGTCAGAGGCTTAAGGATATTCCTAGCTAGCTCTTACACCTTAAATTAACCCATATCTATTAATCTATGTATCACCACTAGGCTGTGGCCAACGGGTAGGTGCTGGTACTTTTCTCTTTCAGCAGCTAGATAGCATCTCTTTGATCCCACCTTCTTCTTCCTCTATCTCTGCTTGGATTTTCTGCCTTGCTATATTCTGCCCTGCCATAGGCCAAAGCAGCTTCTTTACTAACCAACAATAATAAAACATACTCACAGAATACAGAGGTGAATCCCACATTAGGTAGACTGCATGCCCAAAGGTAGATGGTCGACAGAAACCAACTCAACAGCATCTTTGGAAGTTCCTTGTCTCCTAATGTCATGTCAGGGCTTTTCCTTTTTTTGCTTTCTCTTCAACTTTAATTATTTTATTTTTATTCTTACTCTTTTAATTTTTATTTGTCTCTATTTTCTTTTTTGGTCCTACATGTCCTTTTGTGTGTATTATAGTATCCAGGTTCATGTTATTATGGGATCCTGAGAATGCAGGAGAGTGAATTTCTGTGTCTTTTGTTTCTTATGCCATTTTGGGGGCTTTTTCCTTATGTTTTTGTTTGCTTGTTTGTCTTGTCCAATTGCAACAAGTTTTATTTTGTTTTATATTACTATATTATTCTTTAGAAGCCTGTTGGTCTCCTAAAGAAAGCAGAAACAGTGTGGACCTGGATAAGAGGGGAGATCATTGAGAGGAACCAGGAAGAGTAAAGGAAGGGGAAATCATTATCAAGATATGAGAAAATATCTATTTTCAATAAAGAAAAACATATAATAAAAATAAATGAGTAAATGAAACCCAAATAGTCTTTCATTGCTACTGTCATTTTTTTAGTAGTAGCTCAAAAAGCACAACTTCAAAATGCATCCCTGAACTGTCTGACTGATCCACCCCTACTGTTTCCCACTACACTGCAGCCCCTCAACTGGAATCATATGTCGGTATGTGTCATCACCATTGTCTGTCTGTCTATCTTCTCCATGGTGATGCAAATGTCCTGAGAGCACAGAAATACTCTTACCATATCCAGGATGTGGCCTGTTCAAAAAACGCTTGCTATTTGAGTAAACCAAATCACTTGTCTGAATTCAGCAAAGATATTTGCATTTCTATCTGATGTAGGGTGTGTAATCAAATATTTTTCTTCTAGCTCATTTCTTTCTGAGGTTTTAGTTCTCTTGCCTAATATCCAAGTCTAGCTTTAACTCCTCCATAACTCTGAAAACAAGCTCTCCCAGTTCATTTGTCTATTAAGCTCTCAGGCTGTGTCTGTCCTACGTGGGACATTTGCTATAACTTAGTAAGTGTGTAGCATCCTTCTACTCTTATTCTTTCCATCCCCATTTCCAAAGCTCAGTGCACAAGTACTCTGTGGCTTGTGCTTTGATGAATGAAGTCCTGAGATGTGCATCGAAAACATGTAGGGAAGACATTATTGAGGCAAAATAAGAAGGTTCACACCTATCAAATCAAAGTGATACTTAAACTTCAGCCAATGCAGAGTTAACACAGTTTTCAAGATAAGCCACGGCAGGGATATCTCACAAACAAGTACACAAATGTTTGTTACAAACCAAGGCCCATTTTATTGAAAATAAATTATGTTCCCAGCTGTAGATGTTACAACCATTAACACATTCAGACAACGGAACCAGAAGGCAAGAGAGGAAAGACTGACATTTGAGAGCTAGTAGGATGATACTGCAGATCCCAGATCACAAAGATGCCTTCTAAAAATGTGTAGCTGGAGGTCAAAGGCTTGGATAAATTCGTAGTTTCTTGTCCATGGGTCTTTAAAGAAGCATTATCTTCAGAAGTGTCAGTTCAGAAGCAACTGCTCCTCTCCTGGGGATGTTCTAGCAACAAGAATAGCATCTTCTGTAGCAAGATGGTCGGTAGCCACAGCATCCAGACCTATAGTAGGAGCCATATCCACAGCCACTTCCATAGCCAGAGCCATATCCACAGCCATAGCCTGAACCATATCCACAGCCATAGCTGGAGCCATATCCACAGCCATAGCCTGAACCATATCCACAGCCGTAGCCTGAACCATATCCACAGCCATAGCCTGAGCCATATCCACAGCCATAACCAGAGCCATATCCACAGCCAAAGCCAGAGCCATAGCCACAACCACAACCAGAGCCATAGCTGGAGCCATATCTACAGCCATAGCCAGAGCCATATCTACAGCCAGAGCCAGAGCCATAGCCACAACCATAGCCACAGGAGCTTCCGTAGTAGTTACAACACATGTTGTCAATAGGGGAGAATTCGCTTGGGTTGCAAAAGAATATTTTTCAAGTATAGATGTCTCTACTATCCTGAGCCCTTTATATACTGCCAGTAATTGTTGGAGCATACCATTCATTCTTTGACTTAACTAACAAACATCTAAACTATTGCATTCCAGTCACTGTTGACAACCATAATGGTTGCTTAAAATGAGTACATTACTCTGTAAACTCTCATTTCATTTAAAGACCATCTATTACAGAAGTTTCTCAGTCAAATCATGTTTCCAAGCACAAAATTACTCATTACATCTGTTGCCCAATGTGTATCTTATATAGCAAGGTTAGAAGAGAATATAAGAAAATCTGTCTGTATGTGTCTATGTCCCTCTCTTCTCTCTCCCCCATCTCCTCCTCTCTCCTTCTATTTTGTACCCTTTCTGAATTACCAGATTCTCCTACCTGTCTTCACTTTTACAACTCCCTCTAACCAGCATCTCTACAGATATCATATATCTGACAATTCAAGTACAAAAGCATTGAGAGGGCCTCTTATAACTTATAAGTATAACTAATATGCTATCTGTATGTGAGACTTGTATATCCTTCCTTCCTCCAAATGCCATGCAAGCTAAGACACTAAGAACATCATCATTCTTTCTCTTATCTCTTGTTTTCAGTACCAAATTATGCATTATTTTTGAGGCACCTTTAAAAATATAACTTTATTTGGATAAAAAAAACCTATTTTTTTAAAATCTCACTTAGATAAAAAAAACTTTACTGAAATTGAGATTTTATGTCTTTGTAGATGAGATACATGTGCATTTGTGGAATTTAATAAGCCATTTTCTTCCCCATGCATCAATGTTTCTTCACCTTTAATTTGGAAGTTAAAAGATGGTGAGTAATTTTAGGATGCTGACAGCTAAGACCCCCTTGAACTTCTGACACTTTACAGAAATTAAATAGGGAAAAATATAATTCCTAGCATCTACTCACAGTGGCCAAAATTACTCAGTAATTTTCAAATTCTGAGACTTCTACACCCCCAAAAAGGTGTTTGCTGTGACTCTGAAATATGACATTTTCTCAGGCTCCTCAGCAGTCATGTCATGTTAACCTTCCCAAGATGTAAGACAGATGATAATTTTTCCTTGTTGCCCTTATGCCACAGCTAAAGAATATTCCAATTTATGCATTAAATCAAGATTTCATATGTGGTCCTAAAGAAAGGGTTTTCTTTCTGCTATATTGATGACCCTCCTCTTTACTCTTAGGTGTAAATAAAAGTCACAGACTTACTGTGCACTACTAAAATTTTCTTTTGTTCATGGATTAAAATATTTGGTTCATGAAGGGAAAAATAATACTGACCACCTTTGAACTTTCAGTCAGATCCATATTTTACAGTAAATAAGCCTAAAATGATCATGAGAACTAGGCAGAGATTATATCCAAATTGAAGGCTTAAATATACCAGGTCTTACTGAGGCCACCCTGAAGGGCTGAATAGTCTACTGAAGGTCAAAACATGGTCAGGATTTAGATGGTATATGTAGGATGTGGGTGCTTGTTTGGATGGTTGGGTGGTTGACTAATTTGACTCTAAAATTTCTATTACATCCCCCCAAACATCAAATAAGTATTATTTCTTTTTATATTTTTTCTACTTAATTTTAAATTATCGTTTTATAAATTCAAATAAGTCAGAAATGTTCATAAAGTGTGTTTTTGACACTCCTCCGTATAATGTTCATATTTATATCCCTCCATATGTAAACATTTGCTGGCATATACTACCTTAGTGGTAAATAGTATATGTGCATTGTTACTCATGGTTCCACATACATGATACAGACTATCTTTCAGAATACTGGAAATGATGTAGTTAAACAAAGTGTGAAAAATACATCTCTCAATGAACTTCATCTTTCATTCATACCATTAAGGAGTTTCAAAATTCATCCACATCCATAATAAAGAAGAAGCTTAGAACATTTATCAGTATTCCTCAGACTTTTAAGACAGCTGGTTATCCTCAAATTGATGTAGGGTAGATTGCATCACTTGTGACACTGACACCTGCTCCAAGGACGTCATATTTTAAAGAGGATGTGGAGCTTAACAGAGGCCAGTACACACTGTGCAGGGTGGGGAAGCCTATCGTAGCTTGGTATTCCCTATCTCCTTTGTTCTTTCTCAGAGTACAAATCTACCAAAATAATTATTTGATCAGCAAGAAATTGCTGTGTCCTGGTTGTTGTTTGTAGTTACTTTTGGGCTACCTTGTCATAAGGATTTTACTTAAACTTTGTGAAATTCCATCTAAGAGAATATTCATAAACTCTAAAGATGAGTAGTTCTTAAAACAGGCTTAGGAAAGACTACATCCTCTACAGGACATGAAGGGACATCAAAAATGTGAAATCTAGTGTATTCATCATCCTAACCAATGCTGCTTTCCATGTTCCTAGGTCCCTAAGGGGTGGGACTTATCCCTACATCCCTCTGTTGAGGAATCTACCTTCCTCCCTGAGCCAAATATTAGTTCCTCATTTTCCTGGCCCATCTGCTATGCTTCATCCCTAGCAACAAATATCAAGAAAATAAAACTTCATTGAGAATTTTTTTCACAGTTTCTTTTCTCTTCTAGCAATTTTGCAATTTGAGACTATAAATCTTACTCTACAGAGGCCCCAAAATGAGTACTTTGCTTTTCAGTACCACAGCACCTACTTCCAAAACACAAAGCACCAAATTATCTCAAAGTTTTCCTATCCAGATGGTACAGCTTCCAGTACCTCCCCATGAAGATATTGACCTAGAAAAACAAAAACGACCTGTACTACACACATCCATGGATAACCAGATCTGAATTAGTGCCTCATATAACTTGTACTTATCAACTAAAAAATGGGAATGACATCAAACTAACATGCAATGTTATAAATACAAGCTTAAAGTATAAATTAAAAACAAAAAGTAAAATTAAATTAATCAAGGTATTTAGACATCATATGCTTGTATTCTCTTGAGGCCAGTTTCGCTTTTCTCAAGCGAAATTTAATCATTTTATATTATTATTTATTTTTTATGCTTCTTGCCTTGGAAAGAGTTTGGGGTAGAAGCTGCACTAAATAAATGTGATTAACTCATTCTATTTTTTATCACACCATAGTTTTAAATGATCATTTGTAATAGATTTTTGGATATCCAGATTTAATTATACTTAAATGCTGAATTTTCGCAGACTTTAATGCAACAACTTTGGAGTTTAAAGGCACACACATATTCTATGGAATATATGTGTACTATAATTTAAATTTTTTGTAATGCAGTTAGTAAAATGTTTTCAGAAGTAAATTACCTTTTACATGACCTTCAACCACCCTAAATCATTTTTATTATTTTTCAGTAAAACTATAGCATCAAGAACATGATGTCATTGGTATTTTCAAAGTTAGTATTTACAGAATGACTTGAGATATTTCTACAGCATTTTACTTAATACATGTTTGGGGTTTTGAAAAAAAATATCATGTGATATTTGGGGGGATTCTTCTTCCAGAAGAATTCAAAAATTAACATAGTAAAATATTTTATTGCTTGGGATACAAGTACTTTGACAATTTCCTTGAGTATTAGCTTGTAGTCAGTGACAAATATTTGTTAGATAATGAATCCTTACTGCCCATGAAATATATTCTAGAAATTTTCATATAATTTGGTTTATACATGAGTCCCTAAGCCCTTCTCATATTTTGAATTTATAGGTTCTACTTTCAAAAATATTCTAAACTTTCACTAAACATTGAAAAACATACCTCTAAGCAATCTGTATTATTTGCCCAGTATCTTTATGCACATCATCTCAATTTATTCTTATAATCTGATGTCCTGAGAAAGGCAGATTTTTGCCACACTCATGTTTGAGAAAATAAGTGTTGGTCAAGCTGCAAGCGAAAGACACATAGCTGACAGATGCTGTTCCTGTAAAATTGCCTTCCTGTTCATTATAAGGTGGGTGACTGAATAAGGAAAGATTTGGAACGACCTCTCCAGATTGAGCTGGCAGTTACATTCTTCCAGTTGTAGTCATAAAAGCATTGGCCTTCTGTCCTCCTGTCCCAAGTGACTGGCCAATTGCTATGTTTGCTTAATGCCTCAATTCAAGTGACACTCTTATGGAATTCTGTCTTGATTTTCTCACCACTAAATAACCCCTTTGTGTTTCATAGGTCTTATACACTTGTTTGTGAAAATTGCCACCTAGTGTTTTTATTCTTATTATATAATTCATATAAAATTTAACCACTGCTTTCCATACTACTGAATATCTGGACGACTTGATTTTTATCTGAAAACAAAATGAGATTTTACTCCAACCTTGATAGTATTCCTGGGGTTTGGCTTTGTTTTATTTTCTTGTTTCTATTCTCATGTCTGTTTTTCTTATTTTGAAATTTTAATAATATTTTATTTGTTTTTACTTTCTTGGTTTATTACACATCTGGTCTAGCCATGATGAGTTTTACCATTCAGGTCTGTCTTGCCATTCCTAGGCTCCAAAAGCCAGCGTTTAATACATGGGTGGATAACGGGCTGTAAGAGGAAAGATGAAAGATGTTTGGGCTGGGTAAGCATAATAGTCTACTTCTTTCTTTGCCATAAATATTAGATCAAACAAACCTAAGGTAGAAAAAAGAAACTAGGTTTAAGAATTGAAGAATAAAATTCCAATTATACCATCCATTGCTTATGCCAATGTGTAATCCCCAAAGCAAAATGTTAGGGAAATCAAGATAATGAAACTGTCTAATGTATGGTGTATAAAATGTCAAACACATAATGACACTGGAGAGAGCAGTGGGGCAAGATAATGGCTCCCCACCACTCCCTCTATTATCCATATTACTAGTTTCTCTGTCTCTCTTTCTATGTCTCTGTCTCTGTCTCTCTGTCTCTCTCTGTTTCTCTCTCTCTTATTCTTTTACTGAGGATATACTCTTTTCTCACAC